AAGTTTCATGTACTACAAAGCAAACAATATAGGCAGTAAAGCCAAGGGAAGGAGGTATGAGCCTTGAAGTAAGCCAGCAAAGATGAGTAAAGGAAAGAACAAACATTTTCAATGCAAAAGAAGAAAGCAATTGTGTTGTATGTAGAATTCTTTAATACGAGAACCGTTGAAAAGTGTGTTTTCTATTGCCTTGGACCCTCAATAAACTATGCTGAATCGTATGCTTATAATCAAGTAAAATAATGACTGAACTGACAACAGCATCCATTTCCGATTTTTCTGTGCACACATGAATTTGTCATTATTGTCGTGGGGCCACAGACCTGGCAATTCTAAGGAGTTTACTGTACTTTCGGCTTTCTTAAGTGAATTCACTCAAGTTTCCATGAAGTGGGTGGCAAGTAGATCTGTGGAAAGGACACTGTCACCAAGACAAACAGCTATATGTCTCAGGAACTGTTCTGGTTCAAGGAGACTGGCAGATCTGCCCTGTAGATGGTATTTAACATTTCTCTCACCTTATCAAAACCTTTGGTGCCTGAAGTCTCTATGGGAACAATGTCTTTAATCCCAGAGATCCCCAGTGCACACTGCTTATGTGAGGGAGAGAAGGTTCAAGTTATGTTTGGTTATATGAGTTATATGAGTGTCTGGATAGGTGGAAGGAGGAAAATGGCTTAGTAATTTATCAGCAAATAAAGATACAGGGTGGAGAGAGAAAGGGAGAGGAAATGAGGTGGGGAAACAGAGAGAGGGAGGGAGAGAGAGGCTGTTCTGTCTAGATGTAGGCAATGTAGCTAAAGGAACAGAGGGTAATGAGAGGCTTCTGCATCATGGTCACCATAGACCTACATTTGTCTTTCCTCCGCTTATCATTATAAGCTATTTTTATCTTCTGTTCCACTATTGAACAAGTAGGCTCAAACACTGAAGTTTCATGTGTCAAGGAAATGAATAATTTTATTAGAGACTGACTTGACAATTATGGGAGCAGAAGGAAATGCATTACCACTGCTCAGACATGGGGAGATGTGTTAGATTTCTGTCAGTAAAACAAAATGCCTGAGATACAAACCTTCAAAGGAGAAAGTCTTGTTTGGGTCAGTTTCAGAGGTTCCAGCCTGTTCTTGATTCCCCTGTCCTTCTCACCCTGTGGAAAGGTGGACAGTAATGGTGGCTAGGACATGAAGGAGAAAAACACCTCATTCCAGGACACCCCGCCGGGAGCTGTGGCCTCCTGGGCGCTGGGGGAGGAGAACCTCACACATCAACATGGCAGCAGGAAGGGACCACTGCTGTGAAGGTTTGCTCTGGCTCTGTCAACAGTTACAATCGGACACTTATGTGGTCCCAATGCAGGCAGCACCTCACAAAGCATGTTTACTAAGTTTTGTGTGTAAAAACAAAGCAATTCACTGAAAAGGCAATTTACAGATGATAATTTTTTTAAATTTGTTTTATCTTCATTAGTTGTCCTTCAATTTCTTGCATTTATTTTTACAGTTTTTCTGACTTTGTGTTTTGGCTGCATTACAGGACAGAAACAGATGAAATATGCTTGTGAGTGTCTGACTAAACCACTTCTGAAATTCTGTTAGCCACTGGTGTCCAGAGTCACCGGTTAGGACAACTTGGAACTCATTAGTACAAATGTTCTTTTAGTTCCTTTTCTTGTACTTAAAAAACAAGTTTTACTATAATACAATTCATAATTTTCTCCTTTCCTCTCTCCCTCCCATGTACCTGCCTTGCTCTCTTTCAAATTCGTGGCTCCTTTCCTTTCATCACTGGCGTGTGTGTGTATGTGTGTGTGTGTGTAAAACTATATAATGCAATCTGCTCAGTCTATATAATGTTACTTATGTTGATATTTTCAGGGCTGCCTATTCGATACTGCATTATCAGTCAATGTGTTCTTTCCTGGGAGGGTCCTCCTCTTTCCGCACTCCCTTGTTGCCTGTCACTGTTTTTTGTCTAGAGATAAGAGCTTGTGAGCATTCCCCTTTCCAGCTTGACACATCTATTGATGTCTTCTTTGTTCAGTTCATGCTGAGGCATCCCTATTGAGGCTTCCTGAGTGTAACTCTCCTAAAGTTCCTAGGATAGATACAGTCTCTCAGCAAACTTGCTGTTCCTCTGGTTCTCCTACTCTTTCTGCTCCTCCTTCCCCAATGATCCCTGAGCCATAGGTGCTGGAGTTGTGTTGTAAATTTATATCTTGGTGTCACATTTAATTTTATCTACAAGTTGACTCTTTCGGCTAGTAAACCTCAAAGATGTCTGACACTTATTTTACTCATATAAACACCACTAGGCATTATTAAATGCAATATGAAGTTAAATAGTTTAGTTTGGACCCAAGATCATTTAATACCTGATAAAGCAAAGTTACTAAAAATCCTATGCCTAGTATTCTCAAGTGAGATCAAAGCATATTTTTATAATTCTGAAGATTAACTTGGGTCTTGATGTCACTAACTTTGGAATTCATACCTCCAAATACCCCTCAACTCTGTTATTTTTAAAAATCTGGCTAGTATAAAATTTGAGACATAACAGTACTTGAATCTCACCCTCATTGGATCTTGCTGTTGTTGAAATACTTTTGTATGTCTTATACTTGGTATAACTGACAGGAAAGTTAATAATAGTCCATTTGTGCCATGGTTTGGCTCTATTAAACACCTTTCTAATTTAAATTATATTGCCCTGGTGTGTCTGGCAAGCATGACTCCCTGAGTTACATCCAACAAAATCCACTCTAGTCCGAACGTGATCAGCAATGAAAGCCCAAAAGTCATGCCACACATTTCTGGATTTTTGCTGACCTTTTAGGACACATTCTTCCAGTGATGAGTCATCATCTTTCCATCGTGAGAGAAGATAACAATGTCATGAAAAATGGTGATGGGCAGTCCCAGCGCTCAGGCAAGAGTGCACTAAATAGCTGAGGGCTGGTTAAGGCTCTGAAGATTCTTTAGCACATTCCAAAGCCTTTTGGTTTGCCTACTGGTAATAATATGCATTGAAAACAGCAGAAGAAAGAGACAAGGGTATAGATTAGAAGAAAATGCACCATCAATTATGTCTAGAAGTCAAAATAAAAACAACTCATCATTCATCCTCAAATATACTTTTTGTTGTTATAGCTGAGTATGTAAAGATTTTCCATCTAGTTTATCTTGGCCAAGTAGAGCAAGTACTAGGTTGAATGTTCCTCCAGAAGTTTTTGTTTGTTTGTTTTGTTTACTTTCATGATGTGATGACAAAGGAAGAGTTCTTTTGAAGTAGGGCAGATCTAATTCAATCTATATTCTGTAACTTACTACAAGTATAATCTTTGAAAATATGTCTATCTGTCTGTCTGTCTATCATCTGTCTATCTACATATCTGTGTATCTATGTATCTATGTGTCTACCTATCTGTCTATCTCTATCATTTATGTATCTGTCTGTCTGCCTATGTATCTATGTATCTATGTATCTATGTATCTATGTATGTATCTATCTATCTATCTATCTATCTATCTGAGTGTCTGTCTATCACTCAATCTATCTGTCTGTCTGTCTATCTACCTACCTTCTTACTATGATGTCTGTGTATCCATGTCAAAATATCTGCTTTTTATTGCAAAGCTTCTTCAGAGAGCTCACGCTAAGACAGAGTGGGCTCATGTGGTTGTGCCTTCTCCTTAGTGACAAGCAGAGGGGATACACACTGCATAATACTGCTTCTCCTCAGAGCTTGGCAGGCCACCTCCTGACCCTCGGCAGCATGCAGGGCATCTTACAGGGGGCTGCCTGGGTTCTCCCAGGTCATTATGGGAACTGCACCTGGACCCCGGGGCCACTCAGAGTCAATATGATTGGCCCTCTATTTCTAGAGCAGGTCTAGAAATGAGACAAGTCCTGGGCATGGAAGACAGGATCAAATTGGCTTCTGTGGAGAGATAACAGGAAAAGTCTGGCTTCAGAAACGGAAGACAACCCAGAGGACTGCTGAGGATACTTCCCTCCTGCAGGCTTCTTTGTGGCTTCTGTGACAGATGGACCTCAAGCCTCTTCTTAATCACCTCAAGTGACAAGCATGTGGTGGGCAGTCCACACACACCCTCAGCTTATAATTTAAGGAGCACTGTCATGAGAAAAGAAGAAGAATTGGGCTTTGGTCGTGCCATTCTTGGTCCTCTGACTGTGGATAAACACTCTAATTTGTTGTGTGTTTCCTTCTCTAGCAGTGCCGTGTGCAAACTTACAGAAGTTTGATGTAAGGCTCAAGTAAAGCAGTTAACAGGGACTAGTTAACTAGTAAGGGAAACAGGGACTGTCTCTGACATGAACTCAGCGGCTGGTTCTTTGATCACCTCCTCCTAAGGGGGGAGTAGGCTTACCAGGCCACAGAGGAGGACAATGCAGACAATCCTTATGAGACCTGATAGACTAGGGTCACATGGAAGGGGAGGAGGACCTCCCTATCAGTGGACTGGGGGAGGGTCATGGGAAGAGAAAAGGGAGGGAAGGTGAGATTGGAGAAGGCGAGGGAAGGGGTTATAGCTGGGATACAAAGTGAATAAATTATAATAAATAAAAATAAATAGATAAATTTAAAAAAATTAAAAAGCAGTTAACGGTAAAACCTTTCCACTTCAGATGGGGGATGCATTTTAAGCCTTCCACATCTACTGTAAAAGTAACAAGTTAAAGCCATCAGTACTTACCAGTGACTACCTGCTGAGTGAATGATTGAGTGAATGAATGATTCATTTGGCTCCCACCCACCCCTGTCCACACTCAGTGGAGTAGAAAAGTCTCTGTAAAGTTAGCTCTGTTGTCGGGAAAGCAGTGCAATCATACACACTTTGTGCGTGCAAATTCAGGCCAGTTATCCTCCTCGAGCATCTGGCAGTACTGCGCATCCGCTTGGCATTTCTACAGGCCGCCGAGATTCAGAACGGCAGCGTGAGCTTTGTCAGCCACTGACCTTCTCTAATCTCTTCCAGGAATTTCTACTACATCACCATGCTGCGGGACCCGGTGTCACGTTACCTGAGTGAGTGGAAGCATGTCCAGAGAGGGGCCACATGGAAAACCTCTCTCCATATGTGTGACGGAAGGAGCCCCACCCCGGATGAGCTGCCTACCTGCTACCCTGGGGACGACTGGTCTGGGGTCAGCCTACGGGAGTTCATGGACTGCAGCTACAACCTGGCCAACAACCGCCAGGTGCGCATGCTCGCTGACCTCAGCCTCGTGGGCTGCTACAACTTGACTTTCATGAACGAGAGCGAGCGAAGCAGCATCCTGCTGCAGAGTGCCAAGAACAACCTGAAGAACATGGCCTTCTTCGGGCTCACGGAATTCCAGCGGAAGACACAGTTTCTCTTTGAGAGGACATTCAACCTCAAGTTCATCTCTCCTTTCACACAGTTCAACATCACGCGGGCTTCCAACGTGGACATCAACGACGGCGCCCGTCAGCATATCGAGGAACTGAATTTCCTGGACATGCAGCTTTACGAGTATGCAAAGGATCTCTTCCAGCAACGCTACCATCACACCAAACAGCTGGAGCACCAGAGGGCCCGCCAAAAGAGGCGTGAGGCGCGGAGGCTGCAGCGAGAGCACAGGGCCCAGCGGTGGCCCAAAGAGGACGGGGGCCCCGGGGGGACTGTCACCGAGGACTACAACAGCCAGGTGGCTAGATGGTGACCCTCTGCCCGCTCCTTTCTGTGAGGGGATAAGCAGCATCTCGGCCTTCTGTTGGGTTTCTTTGAAGAAGTCAGGCCACGCTGAGGACCTCCAGCTGGACGTGACATAATTTGGACATTTGCTTCCTCTTCGTCGTCGGCGTTTTTGGTCCAGCTGGAGATTTTCCGTCTTGTTCTTTTCCTTTTCTGGACGTTTTCTGATCACTGATATAAATGGGATAGAAATGTATCTAACAGACCACTGTAGAGCAGGTCAGGAGAGGCTTCAACAAGAAAGTTTGTAGGATCTTAGCCACTCCCGATGGGTCCTGGGACCCACAGACACACACAGGAAAACTAAAATCATGGTTTGGATACTCTGCTGAACGCTGCAGGTTTCACCCAAGAGAACATTGGTCTGCTGAGAGAGAAGGGAGAGAGAGGGAGAGGAAGGGAGGGAGGGAGAGAGGGAGAGGGAGAGAGAGGCCCTTTTGCCTGTGGATGACCCTTCTCACTCAGTTTTGGATTGGGGGACTGTTCAAATGAGGTTTAAATCATGAATAACATGGTTTGTCTCTGCAGTTGCTTTTAAACAAAATTGCTATAATGTTGACCATAGCTAGAGACCCCTAGCCTACAGACGATGACACCAGAGCCCTAAGCCATGTGTCCACTCTATCTTTTGGGGAACAGAGAGTAGACACAAGGCAGGGTTGGTTACGATCCTGAGAAATGAACATTGGTGGGACATTTGGGGAAACACACAGATTTAATAATGACCAAGGAGACTGCACTTTACCAGTGTCAATCTTCACTTACTTAAAGAGTAAGTAAAAAATTGTAAGAGTGATAGCAGAGAAACCAGGAGAAGGCCTGCATTTCTGGCCCAGCTTTCTATCTTTGTGAGAAGCTGAGCAGACAGCTTCTCAGCCAGGTTGGAAATTCTTCTGTCACAAAAGAAAAGAAGTTTTCAAAGAACCTGTCTTAGAGAACCAGAGCTGAACCAAGGGGTACATACAGTCCCCTCCAGGTCAGTAAAAGAATGTGGCATCCGTGAGACAAGTCATCAGGGCCTCAGAAGGCTGTTGCGCCTGGCATTTGCGGGGCCTCGGAACTGCTAGCTTCCTACATGACCTTGTCTGTGTACAACTAGAAAACCAAGCCACAGCGTACAAATCCGGACCAAAAATAAGCTGCATTGTCCCGGGTTCCTTGGTTTTGCCCTTTCCAGTCCGCAGCAGCAATCAGAAAGGAACAGGGAGGAGGGAATAGAAGGCCTCCAGCTCACTTGGAAGATCAGAGAGGGTGGGAAGTTTTACAACACATTGATAAGATCAATCCTTCCAAGCAGCTGAAGGCCAAAGGCTTGAGAGCCCTAAATCAGATCGGAAAGCCTGCTTCATTGATGTCCTTCATGTTTGATGTGTAAGCCAGCTTTATGCGAGCCACTGCTCAGCCTCCAGAATCCTCTCTGCGGTTGAGAGGCCACCATCTCCTGTGTCATGGAGTGCCTCCTGCAGGGGAGCCTATCTCTTGCAGATTCTGATGGAGAAGTGGCTTTGGTATTTCTCTCCCTGTGGTTGGCACGCACTGTACTGCAGGAAACGGCCCCATTGCCTGGCCTCGTGTCATATTCTAAAGGAAGCCCCCTGCTGTACCATAAATATATTCGGCCTAAGGAGGTAGATTTGCTGTGTTCATTCCATAGCTGAGAAAATGAAGGCCACAGACGGAATGAGGCTTCCTTGGAGATGGTAATGTAAACCTGGCCATCCACGAAGCACAAGGTCTGAATCTACATTGTGCTTCACAGGTGGTGTTTGCCTCCCTCTGGGTGACATGTCACCCCACAGGTGACGTAAGGTGAAGGGACTGTCCTTGTGGCGGCCTCACACCCTTCTCCCCTCACCACCATCACGCTAGCTAGCTGACAGGTGGATCGCTTCTTTGACAGCTGCAATCTCTGTGCCACACACAGATGTAAATTTCAAGTGGGCAGTTAGCTTCCTAGATGGTAGAGGGGAGACCTCAAAATACACGTGTGTCTCTGTGTGACGATTTGGTCCAGGGGAGGGAGAGGGGAGGGAGAGGGAACGGGGACAGCAGGCCTGGATGAGAGCACATGCAGTTAAGATCCAGTGTTCTGCCAGAACCTGAAAATGGTGCCTCTGTCGTCAGCTGTGTACACACACACACACACACACACACACACACACACACACACACCTCAGTATTTTTTCTTGATTTTTTTCAAGAAAATCAAACCAGCCTAGAAAGCATCAGATTGAGTCTTTCAGACTTACTGTACATTTTGGCAAGGAACCCTTGGAGGCAGCCCCCGCCACCTTCACACTGCTCCTCTGGACCCTTAGGGCTTATACTAAAAGGCTTTCTGCCATCTTGATGATGAGGGCATGATGCTTGGCCCTCCCTCGGGGCGGGCCATCCCTGTGTTGCCCCTAGGCCTGTGCTAAGTTAATCAGGAAGACCAACACTGGCTTCCTCACTTGTGTGGTTCCCTTTGGAAGTGCCACAGTGGCCATATCCCCAGGGCCCTGTGTCTAGAAATGGAGGGACGGGATGTAGCATGTCCTCGGAGATTGTACGCACAGCTCCATGCGGCAGGAATTGATGCCAGAGTGACAGGAAGTCGTCAGCCTTAGGGCCACAAACCATACCAGCCCTAAATGCACAGAGTCCAAAGCTGACAAGAGGAGAGTTCCCAGGTAACCCATCTGTGACACCTCCAGCTCTCAGGCAGGACGCGCCTCCCTCCCTGCTTTTGGCAGAAGGCGCACAAGAAAGTAGGTTGGAGTGTGTATGGGGTAAGTGATGTGTGTGTGTGTGTGTGTGTGTGTGTGTGTGTGTGTGCGCGCATGTGTGCGTATGTGTCTATATGTGGTGTGTGTGTGTCTATGTGAGGGGAGGTGTATCTGTCTATGTGTTGTGTGGTGTATGTGTATATGTCTGTATGGTATGTGTATGTGTGTTTATGTGTGGTGTGTTTGTGGCATGGTGTGTGTGTTCTTGTGTGTGTCTATGTGTGGTGTGGGTGTTATATGGTGTGTATGTGGGTGTGTCTATGTGTGTTATATGTTTTGTGTCTATGTGTGTGGTGTTGTATGTGTGTCTATGGTGTGTGTTCACATATTTCAGAGTGTTGTGGGAGTGTCTGTTTACATATTCTAATATTCCATGTGTGTCTGTCTAGTTACATATTGTAGTGTCTGGTGTATCTGTCTGTCTGACTGTTCACATTTTTGCAGTGGTGTTTGTGTGTGTGTGTATGTGTTTTGTGAGAGAGAGGCAGAGAGAGACATACACAGAGAGACACGGACAGACAGAGAGACAGTGAGACAGAGAGAGAATGTGCGGTGTGGGACATGTGTGTCACACACACTCTGTGTCCTTCCAGCTTCCTAGAAGTCTCCTCTTGATGCTGGAGAAAATAATTAATAACCTCACCAACCAATGTGACAACGCCTAAGGAAGGCTAGGAATTACTGAAAAATACAAAGACGTTTCTTTATCAGAAATTTAACCAAGGTTGGAAGTACCAATCTTCATTTGATCAGACCGTAACACCGTAGTCTTAGTCTGAATGGAGAGGGCACTAATTCTCTCTATTGCTTCTTCACCCTAACACAACACCTGCCTCCTGCCATGGTGGCTGTGGTAGCAGTGGCCATCTTGTTTTCTTGAGAAACTGGAGTGGAAGCAGAGGGAATTTCAGGTGTTGCAGGTCATATGGCACTGGCTGGAGTCTAGACATTGGCCACATCTCGCTGCACAGAGCCTAGAAAATGTCTTTCTACTTCACTGCCAGGTGTCTTCATAAGTGGAGGAGCTCTGTTGTTAAAGAAACAATGGAAAATTAATACTGATTTAAAAACCTATTAGTCTGAAAGTACAAAAAGAAAAGGGAGAAAATGCCTAGTCCTTTTTAGTGTCATTTATTTTCTCATCAGTTTTACAAAGGATGAGATTAAATTTTACTCTGTCAGCATCTAATGCTTTTCAAAACACGTTTGTGTGGCATTTCCTTTGGCCTGCCTTATATCTTGTGTGCTGACTGGAATTTCCATTCTCTTACATTTGCTCATATGGAATGAGGAGTCAGTTGTTGAAAGTTCCCCAGTTCTCGTTCATTTGGAGGAACGTTGCTCAGAGCACATGGTCTCTCGGCTTTGGAGGTTCCCACTCCTGCAGGCTGCTTGGTGTCGTGCTGGGACTGGGCATTGCACGAATATGAAATCTAAATCTTTATTGATTTCTGTCTTTCTTCACCTGTGGAGCTGTAGTAACCTAGAACATACGTGGGCCTGTCCAGTAGACCCAGCTCCGCCCCAGTGAAGGGCCTCTTGCTAGGATGAAACACTAGCGAGAATGTGGTCCCGGGAGTCTAAGGAAGGCATGAATTCAGGGGAGATGCTCAAATACCTCAGCCCTATTCCACCGCAGACTATCCCATATGCAGACCGAGGGCATAAACTTCATATGCCAGTGCAACACCCAGCGTTCGAGAAACTGAGAACCAGCAGCTGCCGGTGAGGACAGCTTAAGGGGTGACCCATAGGGACTTCGCTCACAAAATGCCTCCTCTCTCCTTCCCCAGGCAGCTGGGGTGTTATCAGCAACATCTTGTTACTGTTCGTATGGATTTTATTTGGTATTGCTGGGTTCCTTTGCCCATGGAGCAATGATGTGCTTTAAGCTGCAATAAATAAGCGACTTTCCCAGACACGTCATCTGGCTGAGAAGGAGGTCAAGGTGGGATTAAGCAGAAATAGAGGACCGTGGGCAGTGGGGCAACCAGAAGAATGTGAGGCCCAGAGAGGCAGGCCACCAAAGAGAGATCGAGGATGGTTAAAATATGCTCTAGGCACTAAGTGGGGTTTGGAAATGTGGTGAAGATGCAGCTTTTCTCCTTAGGATCAAGGACAGCCCCGAAACACAATGGGGATGTTACCCGTGACGCTGGATCAGAGCCTTGGGGTCCGAAGGCAGGGGTGGCATGGGAGGGTAGATTGAATAGAGAGCTGTGATTTTACGTTTTCCTTTTCCATCATTATTGTGCCTCTATTGGTCACCAAAACTTTACCTGAATGCCTCAGGCTGGGTGGCTGGGCTGCCAGCTCTGCCTAGTTCATGACTTCCGGGGAGTGCGGTGGGTCCTCGGTCAATGCTTTTGGCTTCCCTTTTTATACCTCTCTGTCTGTACTGGACATTCGCCAGTGTCAGCACTGTTCTCACCATATTCACCAGGACTCATCTGGATGAATTCTCTGAAACTGAATGAGCCCTCCTGGACAAGTAGGGGCATTCTGGGTTTGTGGCCTTCGAATAGAACACCCATAAACCCATCTTTCACAACCTTATGACAGAACTGACCTTCCCTGCAGAGGCGCTGAATTCCGAGGTCTGGCCTGTTATGAACACCAGCAATGCTTGCAAGCCTCTACCCTTCTAGGCGAGGACCGTGGGCGGCCTGGTGGAATGCTGGATGCTGAATCTGCAGACACAGACATGCAGTCTCTCTGGAGCCTGTCTTCTTTGGATCCACAGGAAGAACTGCAACTGTCTGTCTCCGGCTTGCTGAGGGGGACTCCATGAGATCTACACTCTGCTTCACTGCGGGGATTCATGAAAGGCCAGAGATCAGGGCTGCGAACCCTCAGCTCTTGCTGAGAAAACAGTGTCCTGACAAGCAGTTTTATGTGACTTAGTCATGATTACACATGTTCCATCTCTTTGTCATGCTTTGTTTGAATCATATGACCATGATTTTTCTTCCAGTTTTGCTTGCATTTCTCCTTCTTCTTCTTCTTCTTCTTCTTCTTCTTCTTCTTCTTCTTCTTCTTCCTCTCCTATGTATCAAATCAATGTTAGAAAAATTGAAATCTTTATCTGGTGCCCCATTTTAGATGTAAGATAGTTATTCAATAGATACAAGTTATTTCTCCTACAAGATGTTTCTTCTTTTGTTTCTGTGCAGTATGTATGAACTTGGTTAATAGGAGACTATATTGTGACATTATCAACCTTTATTGCTATTTAAAAATGATAGTTTGTAGAACTGAGGATCCCCATTGATGTGAAGCACAATTTAATGAATAAGTTAAACATATTAAACTGTTGTGATGTCAAAAATAATTACTTCCCATGGTGTTCTTGTCTGACTTTTACACAAAATGAAAAAAATAAATAAATACTTCAAGGGGTTATGGAAATCAAATCCAAAGAATCAGCTTAGTCAAACTTTGGAAATTCATGCTATGGTATAAATGTGGTTATTGAATGTGAAAGCGTAAAAGCTAGAAAAGACAATATGAGGACTGAAACCAGTTAGAGTCTGTAAGGTCAGCGAGTTTTTCACAGGCTCTCAAACACATCACTTCTAAAACTGCTTCTCTGTATCCTCCCCTCTTCAACCACTGAGTACCTTAAAATTACATGGAATGCCACCTGATGAGGGGAAGGGATGAGATAAAGACTAGAGAAAACATGGTGAGAGGGAAGCAAAGATTCTGTAAAAATGACCTGTGAATCCCATCAAAGAGAGGTTAAAAAAGAAAAGAGAAAAGCAGGGCAGAAGAAAAGCAAACAAAAATGGAGACTAATGTGGTCCCTCCCCTTGTTCAATCTGTGATGTGGGTGAGACTTAAAAGAAAACAACAATATAGTTCTTTCTATAATATACAAAGATGGAAATTCCAGGTTAGAAATATTTCCCTTGTATTCAAGACTCTCAGGTGATGCAATTTGTCATTTTCTTTTTTTTCTCCCATGGAATGGAAACTGTAGATTTCTGCTTTGCTTATGGGTGCAAATTTTTTTAGCCATAAGAAAATATCATTTAACCAAATTCCCTTCTAGTGGGACTCATACAAAAGGAAAGCGTGACTTTCTAACAACTGCAAGAGCCATAAGCTCTGTTCCAGAAAACAGTGGAAATTAAGCACGCATGAACTCATGCCCTCTGAACAGAGTCATACACATATACATACACAGAGACGCAGACGTGTGCACACAGACACATGCATACTCATAGAGCAGTTCACACACACACACACACACACATACACACACGCACATACACACGTGTGAGGGGGGCTTTTACAGACTTCCAAGGAAAATCTAAGAGAAAAACGTAGAAAACCTAAGGTTTACTTCCTTCATTTATTCATAGATACATTGGTGTCTCACCACAAACCTCTTATCCTAGAAGTTATCATCAGTGATTCCAAGTGGATGAATATTAGACATACATCTTATTCTTTTTTGTTTTTTTTAGTTTATATTTTTTTTGCGACTGGGTTTCTCTGTGTAGCCTTGGCTGTTTTGGACTTACTTTGTAGATAAGGCTGGCCTTGAACTCACAGAGATCCACCTGCCTCTGCCTCCTTGAGTGCTGGGATTACATGGGTGTACCGCCGTGCCCGGCTTACACATCTTATTGTAGGTCTCAATGACATACTTTCCTTTTATTTTTTCATATTTTTTCATTGTTGTGGACTACATTTTTTTGAGTTAGGATCTGGCTGTGTATCCTAGGATCGTGTTGAACTCTAAACCACCTTCCTGACTTGGCCTCCGGAGTGCTGGGATTTACAGGAATACATGACAACACCCAGCTCATTTTTCAATTAAACTAAGCATCTTATATTTTCAAAACTGTCACAGTACTACGTGGTCTTTGGGGGTATTATTGGGTTAAATAAGAATTAGCTTGAGCCCAGCTCAAGATACAAATATAGCGAGTCTCAGAATTGAGATGCTCACTATGATGTCAAGTGCAAGAATGCCAAGGGCATCAGTGAAGCACATCTGTGTCTGTGTCTGTGGGATGCTTTAAAGCAGACTAAGACCAGATCCCCATAAATGTCAGTGTCAACACCCCATGGGCTCAGGTTCCAGGCTGACCCGAAAGTGGAAAAGAAGAACAGCAGCCGAGTACCAGGTGAGCATGATCTCTCTGCTCCTTAACACACCCAGGTGTGCGAAAGCACTCTTACCTCCCTGCTACCACAGGTAAGGGCCTCCAGAGGCCATGCCTTTCCTGCCGTGATAGACCGAATCTTCAAACCATCTGCCAAATGAATCCTTCCTCCTTTAAGTGGCTGTTTGTCAGGTACTTTGTTGGAGAAGTGAGAAGTGCAACTAATATAGCTGAGTGACCCATGGGAGAGAGACATGTGGCCTGGATACACTGCACAGATCTATATGGCCTGATACACTGTACAGATAGATGGATACACCGCACAGATCTACATGGCCTGATACACTGTACAGATAGATGGATACACCACACAGATCTACATGGCCTGATACACTGTAGAGATAGATGGATACACCGCACAGATCTATATGGCATAGACACAATGTATACATCTATATGACATGGAAACACTGTACAGCTCTATATGGCACCGGAACACTGTACAGTTATCTATGACCGGGTACACCGCACAGATCTATATGGCATAGATACAATGTATACATCTATACAACATGGAGACACTGTACAGCTCTATATGGCACTGGAACACTGTACAGTTATCTATGACCGGGTACACTGCACAGATCTATATGGCATAGATACAATGTATACATCTATATGACATGGAAACACCGCACAGCTCTGTATGGCACGGGAACACTGTAAAGATGTATACCGCATGGATACCCTGTACATGATGACTCACATCAGGCAAGATGAAGCAGGTGCAAATTTGCACGTTTGGAATGGCAGACAATTTAAACCTAATGACGTATTTATTTCTGGAATGCTCCATCCAAAATTTTTCATTAAGTGAGTTTGTTCTTCAACAATTCCGTGCATGCATGTAATGAATTCTGGTAATTCTCACACCCTCCTCCCTTCCCCTTCTTTCCCTGTCAAGCCTCCTCCTCCCTTTCCCACACTCAAAACTTTTTATTTTGTTTTATGACCCACTGAATTTAGCTAGAACCGTATGTACAACCAGGGCTTAGCATTGTTCTTGGGAGCCTTGTGGGCCTACTAAGGAGAACACAGAGACTGCTCCGCTCCAAGAATCACCCAGTAGCCAGTAGTCCAGCCTCGGAATGCTCTCCCTGGCCCATGCCTGACTGCAGACAGGCCTCATCTTATGCAGGCCCAGTACAGGCCACTTCAGTTCCTGTGAGAGCAAGACTTCACCAGCTGTGTCACAATCCCCCACAATAGCATTTCCTAGCCCCTTTTCCTATCTTCTAGATATTAGCTACCTTTGATCCCTTTTCTACAGTGTTTTCCGAGTATTAAAGAAAATGAACTAAGTTTGTTGGATAAGGCTGAGCTCTCAATCACTTATTCTCAGAAACTTGAGCAGCTACAGGTCTACATTCAGTGTTGTTCATTGCTAAAGGACACTCCTCTGATTAAGACAGAAAGTAGCATTCATCTATGGATGTAAGCGTAAGTATTAAGGAGGCAGCTTAGTGCTATTTCAATTTAACTGAAAAATAAGTTTCTTCTAGAGCCCATTTTTTAGGAATAATTTTTGACTGGGTTTACAGTTGTGGGCACAGATTATCTTTTGTAGACTGGGCCACAAATCCAGAGAGTAGCTGCTAACCCCTCTCACGATTAAAGCATTATCACACCACTGGGAAATTCTTGCCTAGTAAGCTGACTGTGATAGTTTGTAGGTTTCACAGTAAGGCCAATGATGCCCTTTCTCCCCCCAGCAAAAGAACCTTATGGGCTATGAAAGACAGGCAGCAAGGAGGACGTTTCCAGCTCAGTGACAGCTCGGTTTCTCTATATATCGCAGCAAAGATGGATGATATACTAGACAGGGATGAGGAGATATAAAAAATAAGAGGGAATGAATAGGGAAAGTTAGCCAAACTGAGGAGTACATGAAAAAAAAAAAAAAAACAATAGAAATTTGTTTTGTAAGTCGATTTAGGAAACAAACAGAGTTGAGGGGGAGGGAGAAGAAGACAAAAAGCCAGATGGAAGATATTCCCTGTGCAGCCATGCTGCCCCTGGAAGCCATAATCAGTAAACAAAATTCCAATACCAGTGGACGATGCCTCCTTATGAGCTTTTGCTGGTAGACATTCCAGAAGCCTTAAAATAAATGGGTTCTTTCCATTCCCCATGGTGCCCAGGGTCACTAGACCATTTAAAGACACTGGGGTTTGACAGAATAGAACCTAGCATGAGGTGGACTAAGTCTCATGCAATCGCCAACTTAATTCAGAGCATCAGACAGTTCACACCCTGAGGGTTCAGAAAGACCACCTGAGCAAAGTTCTCATAATGTCGATCTGTGTATAACCACAAGGACAAGCTGCACTGCACATGGTGAAAACGCTTTTCCATGGAGATGAACAAACAAAGAACAATAGCCAGACAGTCTAAAGTGGGCCCTCTCCCCTCTGCTTCACCTGGGAAGGGCACGAAAGCAGATTCCAAGAGCAACTCCAAGTTTTGGAAGAAACCGAGGTCACAAAACTCTTGTTCTGCTTTCTTGGAGCTTTCTCACAATCACTCAGAATTCCTCACAGGACTCCATTCTCAGGCCATGTCCCAACACAGATACTGTAATTATGTTATTGAAGACACCAGTTAGTATATGTGAGTAGCATTAGCCCTGAGTAAATAAAATCCATGAAATATAAAGTAATGATAAGGGGGCTTATTGTAGTGCCAAAATAACATCGAAAATGTTGAATTTCTTAAAAATCTGTCAATATAATTATATAAATTTGTGAACTGATAAAAGCAAAATAATCCAATGAAATCTGTTTTATAAAGTTATAGTTTTTGCTGTCACTTTAACTTTCTTTTTTCCTTTTTAAAAAATTTACTTTTTTATTAACTACAGTTTATTCTCTTTGTATCCCAGCTGTAGCTCCCTCCCTCATCCCCTTCCAACCCCACTTTCCCTCCCTCATCTCTTCCCCATGCCCCTCCTCCAATCCACTGATAGGGGAGGCCCTCCTCCCCTTCCATCTGACCCTAGTCTATCAGATCTCATCAGGACTGGCTGCATTGTCTTCCTCTGTGGGCTGGAAAGGTTGTTCCCTCCTCAGGGGGAGGTGATCAAAATGCCAGCCACTGAGTTCATGTCAGAAACAGTTACTAGGGTACCCACTTGGAGACTGGG